CGGGTCTGGGGGGACAGGGTTTGGTTTTGGGGGTGGCGGCGTGGCCGTGGGGCCAGCAGCCATCTTCCCCTGGGGAGCCCCGCCAGCTCCGCTCACCCTCCGCTCCCCGCAGCTGCGCTGTCCCCGTCCCCACCTGCGCTGGCCCGGGGCATGCCGGCCCCGGGGGGGAACTGAAGGACTCGCTGCGCTCGACCTCTTTCCCCTCCCGAACCCCAGGTGCCGCCATGGCTGACACACTGGAGTTCAACGAGATCTACCAGGAGGTGAAGGGATCCATGGTGAGCGAGGGGGGGCCGCGGGCCCCGGGAGACCCGCTTGGGCCCCGGCGGGTGGCACGTCGTGCCGAGCCCCGCGCTCCCAGCCGAAATGCTGCGGGGCGCTTCCCCCCCTCGGCGTCTCTTCCGCCGCCTCGTCCTGGCAGAGGGTGTTTTGCTGATCTCGCCGGGAAGCAGGGAGCGGAGGCGCCTCGTTTCCGGGGCTGAAGTGTTTCGGAGCATTGACGGGGGCTTTTAGTGCCAGCCCGTTGCGGAGAGAGCGAGGCTGCGGTTGGGAACGCTTCCAGGAGGAGGGAGAAGGGATGCCAGCTCTGCGCGTCCACCGTAGCTGCTGCGAGAGGGCTGTGTGTCGGCTGTCAGCCGGTTCTGGCGCCAGGGAGCGGGCGGGGGGCTTGCGGTGGTGTTGAGTGGTTCTGGGTCAGCCTTAACCCTCTGGTCTTTGGGAGACCGTCCCCAGAAACCCAGCAGAGCTCCAGCGCTGTAGTGGCACCGAGGGCGCTGGCCACTGTCTTGTGGCTGCTTGAAGCCCAAATTTGGGCGGCGAGGAGCGTGTGAGCACTCAAGCTGGTGGGCGGTTGGGGAAGTCACCTTGTTTCGCTTGGAGGGGTTGTGCAGCCGCCTGTTGCACCCGAAGGGTGGCGGTTCCCTGCTGGGGAGCCTGTTGGTGTCTTTGGGCTGTGCCCTGCCCTGCTGCCCCCGCCTCACGCCTGCGTCTCCCGCCAGAACGACGGGCGGCTGCGGCTGAGCCGCCAGGGCGTGATCTTCAAGAACAGCAAGACAGGGAAGGTGGACAACATCCAGGCCTCCGAGCTGGCCGAGGGCGTGTGGCGGCGCGTGGCGCTCGGTCACGGCCTCAAGCTGCTCACCAAGAATGGCCACGTCTACAAATACGATGGTTTCCGGGAATCGGTGAGTCCCCCAACCCCTGCTTGCCTGTCCCGTCCTTGGCCCTGGCTGGCGTCTCTTCTCGTGCTGGCTTGTGGTTCTCTGGTATCGAGCTGTGCTCACCATGAGTCTCACAGC